CTCCAATTTCTACTCCAATCGCCCACGACTCATCCCGCTGCGGAGAACGGCTACAGGCAAGGAGTGGACTGCCTGTCTGAGTAAGTGATCGTTGCTTGCAGTTTGGACTGATTAATCTTTCAGCATTATATCCTGCAGGTCTGCCATCCGCGCTCAGCATGCGAAATTGACAAATTTGTCGCATTTTCCTCCCCCCATCCCTCTGTGATTGCCTTTTTTCCCCTTTGACAGCCTTCCTTGCTGTTAGAGCACGAGGCGAGAGCTGTGACTCGATTGGTGCACCGCTAATGCACCTATACCGCCACCTTGTGATAACGGGGACTTTGTTGTCGTAATTATCGGCGATTGATTTCAAACATGCCTACCACAATGTCCGCATTCGTCCAATGGCTGAACCGCGAGACGGGACTACAATCCATCTGCACCTACGGCAACACTGATATATATCTAATCCTGTTAACTCGATTTCTCCGAATGTTTGCCTACGGTGGCACCGCCCTCGTTCTGGCAATCTTCCTGTATACTCAGGCTGGAGTTGATTGGAAGAAGATAGGCACTTTCATGACCTTGACATTACTGGGAGATGCCGCGATCAGTTACGGGCTGACAATCGTGGCTGACAAGATTGGCAGAAGACGTGTGTTGCTAATAGGATCTTTGCTAATGAGTCTGGCTGGGACGGTGTTCGCCTTGAGCAAGAATTATTATCTGCTTCTGCTCGCTGCTATTGTGGGCGTGATATCCCCGGGAGCACATGAAGTGGGACCGTTTCGCGCGGTTGAAGTATGTCTCAGATCCGGTGTCCTGGGTTTGAATTCGTCCAAGGCACACAGATAACTGCGTTCGCTTCTCTAACCCTTTTCGCTTTCACAGGAAGCAGTTCTCGCTCAACTCTCCCCAATCGAAGCTCGCACAGACATCTATGCGTGGTTCGCCGTCTCATCCACTCTTGCAATGGCATGCGGCCTGTTTGTGACCGGGTGGATAACCTATGCTCAAAAGACATACATGGGGCGTGATTGGAAAGAGACGTACCCTCCTGTTTTTGGTCTGTATGCACTCATAGGTTTGATCAAGTTTTCCATCACGTTCCTTCTCAGCAAGAACTGCGAAGCCAGCGCGGCGGGACAATATTCCTGGGCCCCGACTACGATGACAACAACTGCGGTAGACGAAGTGGGATCACCTTCATCGGAGCAGACCAGGCCTCTCCTGGATGGCATTCCTCGTCGGTCATCGATCCCAAAGCAAGCAAAGGTCAGAACTGCAGCTCGTGCTACTCGACCCTTTCAAACCAATTCCTTCTCCCGCCGCCTCCGCTCATCACTCAGCTCACCCTGGAAAGTCTCCCGCTCCTCTCTGCCCATCCTCCTCCGCCTCTGTTTCCTGTTCGGTCTGAATGCCTTCGCTTCAGGCATGCTCCCCGTAACCGTGATGAGTTGGTACATGTCCTGGCGCAGCCGATGGTTCTTAACTCACCGGATCGGCTATGCGTTAAGCGTGGTCTGGCTCGCTGCGAGTCTCTCCAATTTGTTCAGCGCCGCCGTGGCAAAACAGTTGGGCCTCGTCAAAGCCATGGTCTGCACCCACTTACCCAGTGCTTTGTTCCTAGCACTTGTTCCGCTGGGGCTGGTGGCCTCGGGTTGGGAACTGTTACTCGTGCTCTTGCTCGCGGACGCGGTATTGGGCTCCATGGATCAGGCTCCCCGCGAGGCGTTCGTCGCAGCGGCTTTTCTACCCCGTGAGAGGACCCAGGTCATGGGAACTCTAAACTTTGTGAGGACCTTGGCCGCGAGCTTGGGTCCGGTGGTTACGGGAGTCGTGTGGACTAAGCAGAGATGGTGGGGACCATTTGAATTGGCAGCTGTTTTGAAGGTCTGCTATGACGTGGGCCTATTGATCATGTTGTTGAAGACGCCTTTGCCAGAGGAACATCGGAGGGCTGTAGGAGGTTCGGTAGGTGGCGAGAGTCAACAGATAAGAATGACCGCTGCCGACATGGATGTCAACGTTCTGTTGGACGAGTTGGCAACCAACAACGGCGGATTGATTCCGCCGAGCGAGTTTGAAGTGAGTGATGATGAAGGAGAGGACGAAGGAATGTTGGTTACAGAGGTGCGGGAGGATGCTTCTGGGCTACCAAAGTACGACGAGTAGAAGATTGCGTCTCTATTTGGCGGGTTACTTCGAGAAGACCAGTTTTACACGCATTGCTGGCAGGACATAATCCGGGGTCTATTATTTTCGGTGGTCAAACTACGGATGTGTGTGCCGAGTTCTTGGTCAATGGCCCCTCTGTTTGCTGGAGGAGTGGCATCATCTGACTTTCTGGCCGAAGGGGTACCCGGAACTGCTCGCCCAGAAGATGGATAGTTGGTACGTAACATAAGACGGCAGTTTGAAACAGCGGGCGGCTGATTTCCCCCTTGGAAGGGCGGCAAACGGTTATATCATAACAGGCAAGACAAACCCTATGTCTATAATTTTCTTGGTGGAAAAGACTATCTATTGTCGACCATGGCACTACTACGACTCCGCACGAAGCTCCTCCCCGTTTGACAAGCGTGCACTTGCATACGTGCCTGGTCTTGTTCATTTTATCTGCTATCAAGCTCAGTAGAGCCCCTTGACCGTGCGACCACATTCACTAGGCCACAGTTTTCGGTAGTGGATTTCATGATATCTGGCCCAGGTACTGGGAACTCGATGCAGTAGTCTCAAGGACCGGTGAATCTGGGTAGAAGATATTTTGGTCGGAAGCCAGTTGGTTGTCTGCCGTACCAAGAGATGTCCCAGAGTACTGGAGACATGCTTCTTCCCACTTCGAGGCCGTGCCTATATGATAAGGCCCGCCTTGGAGATTCTAGATGTAGCGTGCTCTAAGTGCAGGGCTCTGAGGCTGCAAGGCTGTTACGCCAAGACTGTCGTCGGCAAAAACGGAGCCCGCGCCCCGACATCCGCAAATATTTTTTTTGTCGCGCAAACGCAGCCGTAGTGCTAGATACGTTGGGTAAGAGCTCGAACTCTGGGAAAACTGGCCATGTCAGTCCAGGCTAAGAACAAACATGCCCCAAGCTCGAAACCCGTCCAGGACACCGAATCACTGAGCCCGCCAAAGAAGCGGAAACGCGACACCGAATGCATTGAGATCTCCAAAAAGAAGAAAACACAGCGGACAGAGGATGTCAGGGAAAGCCCAGCTAGGGTAGTCAAATCTACCGAGAAGAAGGACAAGAAAAAGAAGAAACAGAAGTCCAAGGACAAGGAAGATGCCGCTGCAGGGACGGTAAGAGAGGCAGAAGAGGCGCCGGCGCCGCAGGACATTGAATTAGCAGACGCAGGTACTGCTGAAGAAGACAAAGAGCCAGATATAAGGACAGACACTATCGAGAATGGTTTTGGAGCAGTGGATGAGGAACAAGATCAACTCAGTCTGCTAGAATCCGAAGATCCTAGCTCTTTCTACTCGACCCGCCTATCGCTTTACCTCTCGATACCTGCAGTCTCACTTGAAGCCAGCTTGTCATCGGTTCTTGCTGTGCACCTCGCACCATTACTTCTGACATACTTTACCCCAGCGCAAGGAATTGTTCTGGGATTCTCCGACCCCGTCTTGTCCGCCAAACCTAACGCTGGCATCAATCTTCCTCTCTTACCTCCCCGAAACGGCGAAATGGAGCCCCAGGCCGAAGTTCTTGCAGAAACAGCCGACGAGTTTGGAGTGTGCTGGATCTGGCTTACTGCAACCTTCCTTGTGTTTCGGCCTGAAAGAGGCGACGAGTTGTATGGATGGACGAATGTCACATCAGAAGGGTTCGTGGGCCTGGTGAGCTACAATTACTTCCAGACAGCCATCGGCAAGGGTCGAATCCCTGCAGATTGGAAATGGAACGGGCCGAGCAGGGAACGGGTGCAGAAAAACAGGAAAAAGGGGAGGAAAGGCCGATTACGTGACGAGAAGGGTTTGGATGACGGCGCAGAACACAGTACACAGGAAACTGCAACAACAGTGGTGGAGACTCCATCCTCGCAAGCCCTACTGGCCGAGGATGGCGGATACTTTGCAGACGCCAGCGGGACGAAGATCAAGTCGACGCTGAAATTCCGCGTGGCGAACACAGAAATAGTTCCAGCACATGACAGGCACAAGTGGTCGTTGCAGATTGATGGCACTCTCCTAGACGATGAGGCTGAGCGCAAGGTGCTGGAAGAAGAACGAGCGAAGTTCGAGCATGCGCAGGAAAGCAGCCACTTCAAGTCGCCCAGGGGGAAAGATATGGCGGTGATGAGTGGAGCGTTGAGAAGATCGCTGAGCCGAGAAGGAAGTGTTGGCTTGAGAATTTCCGGACACACGCCGGCGCGGCATCGAGTGACTTATTAGGAGTCGCTGTACCCAAGGAGACCGATTGCCTGTGCAAGGAGCTGACGACTCGGTCCCTGACAATTAATTTCTATATTTGTGTCGGGGATGGGCTTTAGCAATCGCGTTCGAATGATTGGCCTCATGGGATACTGGCACCAGTGGTGGGGGCGGCGAGGGTGACGCAATACCGAGGACGCTGGTGACGTTCACTGGTGACGCTCAATGGTGACGCTCAATGGAATGTCCCCGCAGCCATAGGCACGCAACAGACACCGCGCAGACTGCAAACTGCGCTCTCCTGTCAAAATATGGCCGCATCATCATCACCCACGTGTCTGCCAGTGTAGAAGTCTCATGAGCACTGTATTCCTTCGTTCCCCTGGTAGTCGTTGCTAACCTCTGACCACCAGCGCCCGGTCTCCTTCCTCTAGCTAGCAGCGTTTTGGTCTCTCGCTAGCGGATGTTCAGACGATCTACCACCGCCATCACCACCACCCATCGTTTTGCCGTCTCTTCCACTTCGTTCAGACAACCCTTATTACCCATCTTCCTCTCTTCTGCTGGTCTCCGTCCAGCCATATCCCTCTCCCCGCCCCGAGGCTCACCTTTCAGAGGCTTCTCAGCCAATTCCTTCAGAATGGCCCAGGAATTCAAGCTCAAGGGCCTCGATAAACTCGACCTGAAAGACCTCGACAAGATAGAGGTGGAAGTTGACGGCATTGAAGGTGGAAAAGTCCTCCTATGCAATGTTAACGGCCAGGTGCACGCACTGAATGCCAACTGCACGCATTATGGCGCACCGTTGAAGCTGGGTGTCTTGACGCCCGAGGGCAGATTGACCTGTCCGTGGCACGGAGGTATGCAACATCGGTACCGCTTCGTGTACTGGAGCGTGGACATTGACTTGATCAATAGCCTGCTTTAACGTACACAACGGAGATGTCGAAGACTCACCTGCCCCCATGGCGTTGAACAAATTTAATGTCATGGAAAAAGCCGGTGGTGTATACATCACGGGAAAAGAGGCAGACATCAAAGGTGGAAGGAGGACAGTCAACATCAAGACCACTCCTTCTTCTCAAGAGAGGCTGGTTATCGTTGGAGGGTACGTCCCGCGTCAACACCTAAAATGAGCAGGCTATTTACATCTGGAACAGCGGATCTGGCACATTCGGCGCCCTTCTTAAACTCCGCGAACTCGGCTACAAGGGCCATGTCACAGTCATCACCCACGAAGGCTATCCGATTGATCGCACAAAACTCTCCAAGGCCCTCATCACCGACGCCTCGAAGCTGTACCTGCAACCCGAGGAGTGGTACGCCGACGGCTCGGTGGAATTCTTTCCTGACACCGTCACCTCCGTCGACTTTGACGGCAAAACTGTTCAAACCAAGACAGGCAAATCTCTTCCCTATACGAAACTCATCCTCGCCACAGGTGGGACGCCGCGTCAACTCCCTCTCCCTGGTTTCAAGGACAATCAACTGGGCAACATCTTCCTGCTGCGGAAAGTCAGCGACGTGCAAAACATCATGAACGCTGTCGGCGACAAGGGCAAGAAGATTGTCGTTGTCGGCTCAAGCTTTATCGGTATGGAGGTTGGCAACGCCTTGGCCAAAGAGAATACGGTAAGTATCGTGGGCATGGAATCCGCTCCACTCGAGCGTGTAATGGGAACCGAGGTGGGAAAGATCTTCCAGCGCATGCTCGAAAAGAATGGCGCGAATTTTACCTCAACGCAGGTGTTGATTCCGCCTTGCCGGCATCCAAGGTCGCCAATACCGTGGGATTGAGTTCTGTGGGCGCCGTCAAACTAAAAGATGGCACCGAACTCGAAGCCGATCTCGTCATCTTGGGAATTGGCGTGTTCCCTGAAACGACATACCTTCGCAACAATCCCAAAGTACAACTCGAGAAAGACGGCAGTATTTCGGTTGACGAAAACTTTGCGGTCAAAGGCCTGCAAGATGTCTGGGCCATTGGCGACATTGCCACCTACCCCTACCACGGCCCCGGAGGAAACGGCACCCCCGTGCGCATTGAACATTGGAACGTCGCACAGAACATGGGTCGCACTGTGGGCCAGTTAATCGCTCAACCAGGCAGCAAGCCTAAGCCCTTCATTCCCATCTTCTGGTCCGCCCTTGGGAGCCAGTTGAGGTATTGTGGCGCCACACCGAATGGGTGGGACGAGCTGGTGTTGAAAGGAGAGCCAGAGAACAACAAGTTTGCGGCATTTTATTGCAAGGGCGACACAGTGGTGGCCATGGCAAGCATGATGATGGATCCCATAATGGTCAAGTCTGCCGAGTTGATGAGACGAGGGAAGATGTTAACCAAGAGCGATATCCAGGGTGGGAAGGATGTCTTTGCGGCGACTCTGTGAGAAGACGAACCGACAAGGACGTAGAACGGATAACGTACTTTGTGGTAGATCCCAGATGTTCCACGAGGGTTGATGTAGCGCAGTATCTCCCTGCACATGTCCGGTACGACGCAGAGATCGCACGCCATGAGAGACAAAAGAAAATACAAACATGCTGGATCCCGATACCCTGAGCTCTGGAGGTTCACTCGACCTGAAAGGCTGTTTAAAAGCCACGATTTCGCTTTCTCTTGAGTTTTGGTGTTTGTTTCCCTTCCGATGGAACCTCGTGTCTGGGCTGGACTAGAAATGAAAATTATCAACGAAGCAAGCACGGAGGAGAGAGATCGAGGTGCAAAATTCTGGCTATGCCCCCGAGAGGACGCTGCTCGAGGCCGACTTGCACCCTGTTTTGCTGTGAGATAGCACCCCGACCTTTGCCCTAGACAGGTTCCAACCGCGTGCTCCCTGCAAGGTTGACCGATGGGCCAACTGCCTCGCAGCATTGAATTGGCCTTCTAACATCAAAGGGCTCTGACAACCACATCCGTCCCTGTCCATGATCTCTGAACTGTGCCCTATATCAACATGAACGCAGCCAAACATGCAACATTGAAGGTTAAGACCATCAAAGATTTCGCTTATGCCCGTAAGCCCCGTTCCCTGGAACTATTGTGGTCTCTAACTCCAATATAGTTGGGCCAAAATGAAAGGATGTTAGTCGTGATGCCCAGGAGAGCGATCTGCTACTCGACGAGTTCGATTCCAATGCGTCGCTCCCGTTCAGCTATCGGCCTCATGACGGCTTTGGGTCTCTGCAAAACATTCTTGACACGCTAGAGCACGAAAATCTTCTTCCTAATTCCGCCAACTTTGCGAGGGAGACGTCCATAAAATGCTCAGACATGACCGAAGACAGCCGAAGTAAGCACACCATCTTGGGTTCATTGTTGCCGCAAAATCTGGCATCGTACCGATGCTTACAAGCCTGGCGGCAACTCGAAAACTCATCCCTTCAGGATCTAGTGCAAGTAAGCTCTTCAACTTACTACAGCTATTGAACATTGACACCCGCCTGATCTTGCATCGAACGTGCTGAGATAAAAAAGAATGGCGTCAGACCTATTTTTGCCAGCATCCAAGGTGGAACATCGCAGTTCAAGAGTCGCCGTTTTCAGTCTATACGCGTTACGCTGCAAACCACAACCTCACTACCTACGTGATCTCTCACAAACCGAACGACTCGAGTATCAAAACACTACGGACAATCGCGGATATAGCCCTGAGGAAGCAAACACCTACTCAGAGAGGGAATGCTATTGTGGAGGATCCTTTTGACCTCTTCGTCTTTCTATCGTCACTATCTTTTGAAACTACAAAAGCATCATGTGAAAGCGTTTTCAGCACTTCGTCCACAACCAGCGGCGTGGCCAAAAAGAGCCAATTTTCTGGAAATGCAAGGTACCATCATTACTGCTTCAAACCAAGTTCAATAAAGTCGATGACCATCTTGTCGGCGTTGGGGCTAGTGACCGCGCCAAACTCATGGATCTCACGCGGCAGCTCCAAATCATCTCGCAGAATGCGGACATCCACATCAGCAACGCCTACGTTGCCCTCATCACCGCGAATGCGATTCGAGACATGCCTTCTCAGCTTCACGACACCATCAAGAGTCACCTTCACGGCGTGGGAGAGATGCTGTCGATTACGTTATTGAATGTATGAAGAAGCAGAAGATGTGGTTCCTGAATTACAAGAGCCGAAAAGACAGCATCATGAGCTTGATATACAATCTAGTGACGCAGCAAGATGCTGTCGACAACTTCCAGATCGCGGCGGCTATGAAGCAGGACAGCATCAGTATGAATTCTATCTCCGCGCTCACCATCGCGTTTCAGCCTGGGACTTTTACTGCGGTAAGCATTGCACACCTTCCATCGACTTCTCTAATCCCCGATTTTGAACGGCTTCATCAAAGTCGACACTATGCTGAAGACACCCACAATCTACAGAGCGTCATCGGTGGCGCCATTCTAGAGGCCGACTCAGGAACCTGAATCATACGGGTTACGGGGCTCCTGTGGCTCTGGGATGCCCTCACAGTTCCTCTCGCTGTCATGGTATTCATTTGCTGGTGGTGGTACAAGACAGGGAAGCCAATTCAACAAAGATTTGGCGCAGTCTCTGGCACTCTTTTGCATACTTCCATGCATGAACAGCGGACTTTTTCAGCTGATTCAGTGCTGGTTCCTGTGCGTGAGACAGGGTCTGCCGTCATGGTCTGACGATCTTCAGCATGCTCAGCCACAGACTGGGACGTTGCGGGAGTGGTAACAACCGCGCCGAGACCCGCACAGGCTGCGGAGGGAAAGTAGCTTCCTTACATTCTTCATAGACATCGCGCGTTTTGTGGTGATATGTTCTCTCCATTCTCTATCTGTTCTGACGTCAAGGGGACCCCGGTCTTGAAAACGGCCTCCCATCATACCAGACGCAGCCTGCCTATGTAGGTAGTACGTATCACGGGGAAAATATTGGCCTTTAGATATGTCGGAGTGATTGCGGGTTTCACTGCCGGGTTGGTATGAAAGCCGCCTGGAGACGGATGGTCATCCGGTCAGAATCACATTGCCGGGCTTTACTGCTCTGTTGGGTGTGGTCCCTTTCCAGCAGCCCGGAGTTCGTCATGAGGCCGTGAAGCCACTTGATCACTCACTCACTCGCTCACTCGCTCACTGTGCGCTTTTGACCTCAGCACAGCGCAGCAAGAGGGAGTCGAATGATGGCGATGAATGCACCGATCCGAAGGTCGTAAGTGGTCCTTGGACTGAAGTTGGAAAGAAGAAGGCCACCGGCTCTGCTTGCTGGAGTGCTTTGCCAGTGTCCAAATCATATTCAATGCCAACCTCTCCCCCTCCTCTCCCCTGTCCTCTCTTCCCGTTCCGGTCTTCACTCTCCCATCGCATCACGATTCTCCGAACACGGCCGCAGCGCAGTCGACCTTTGACGGTAGTAGTCGACTTCTTTACGATGACGACGACGATGATGATTGCGACATCATGGATGAGTACAGCGTAATTGTGGAGGGGTGCCTTGCTCTGAGGAGGAAAGTTTGCCTTGATAGTGAGCAAATGCACGACAATTGCAGACCGAACTGGCTGGACCCGAAGAGGTTGACCGTCTTAGGGAGAGGCGACCAAAAAAGCGAACGGCCCTAATAAAATTCATCGACTTTACATGGTTTGGGGAGGGAGTCGGCTGGATTTTTGGCATGCATACTGTCAAAATAGGGCGATTCCCCTAGGTCAGGTTAAGCCAGTCTATGTAGTCAATTCTCGAACGGCACGATAGAAGGAGGACAGTGATTTTCGAAAACACAAAAACACGCTTGGTCCCCGAGTGTTCTCTTCATGATGCTCCCAGGGTTGTTTAGGGACCGTGGAGAATGAGAAAGGATGTCGAATTTCTGGGCTCTCCGGCCGGTGCATTCCTTTGAGTCTACAATGTTGAGGCAGCGAGAGGAGCAAAAAGAGACACACACACACACGCACGCACGCACACATAGAGAGAGAGAGAGACGGTGCTGGAGACACACTTTGATAGTTGCCTGGCCGGGGAATGGGCAGGTGACCATTCTCATTCCTTAAGCGAGATTTGGCCTTGACCTGGTGTTTTGGGAAAAAATCTCCTGCACGCGGACTACATACCCTATGGACAGGATAATCTTGCTAGGCTGGTGGAGATCGGGGCGGTGTCTGGACGTATAATCCATTATACCTTGGTATGGTCAGTAGCTTCTGGCATTCAACGTCGAATTTCGCTATCCTTGGCTATACGGAGTACCCAATAGCAGAGGAGAATCCTCGGACAGGGGAGACTTGGTAGAAATCAACCCAGGCAAGCCCTGGTCGAGTGTCGATACTGAATGCCGAGATTTTGGCGAGAATCTCATCTGAGCGGCGGTCGCGTGGCAGCGTGTGGTGATCGCCAATACAACAACAAATTTCTCTTCCTACGCTCCATTTTCTGGTCAGACTCATGGGAGTGGTACTTAGGGATCTTCTGTGATCGGCTGGAGGGAAAGGGCCGGGCCAGATTTTGCAACTGGCGAGATAAAGGTTCCTATGACACTCGGAATGATTTACGTCTTCTGCAATGGGTAAAATCCGATATGGGTCTCGGCCTCTTCTGCATGGAAAGGCTGTCAAGTGGGCGCAAAGTTTGACTCGTCTAATTGAGATGGCTACTGTAGCAACTTAGTCCTTTTGTGGCATCATCATGGAGTCGTGCGATCCACTTACCGGTTCGCCGACGCTTAATTTCGAAAGACTACCCACCAAGGTAAGGTCCATGCGCTCCTCCAGCACAACGACCTTTGCCCATGCAATTCACAGGGATCAGGGCCTGACCCGTAATGCAGCACTGTGGAAGCTTTGGATACGAAGTTGGCCGCGATGGCCGTGATTTGATCCTTCCGGGGAAAGCGTCGTGGGACATCCGTGGTCGGGGTTTCCACCCCGTTGGTGGGCCGCCATCCTCGCCAAAGTATAACATTTGCATGTGACACTATTTGTTGTCCAGAAATTTGTAAGGTTTCGTACCCACTCGAAATACTTAGTAAAAGGGCGGAGGCAGAACTCTCTGCTCCGCCAGGAAATGTCGAGCCAAGGAATACGATATGACAAGACCATCGCAGGTGCATCTTGTCAACAGAGACTTGGCGAAGAGGAGCGGGTGGGGATCAAACATTTCAGGATGTTGTTCAGCTTGAGGTCTGACCGCTCAGTCGGAGAGCGGCGTCCTCGGTTCGTCAATTGACCCTGTCACAATGAGTTCGAACTTGGCGACGTAGCCAACACTTACTCAACAGGAGAGATTTTCATCTCTTTCCAACATGGAGCTCCCTAGAGTCTTTGCCTGAGTCTTCGGCCCATGGGGAAGCCAGGGGTGACCCTGGAGAAGAGAGGGCACGACTTCCTTTTTTGGCAAAAGGAGTTCAACTTCCTGACCCTGAACAATCTTTCACAGCCAGGAATTTATCGAGCACTGTTTCAAGCCTCCATAAGCCCCAGTGAAACATGGGGGATTCGTGCAGCGAGAAAAGTCCCTGGTAGCTGTGACGATCGGCTTTGGCTAGCAGCCACCAAAGCTTGGTCGCCGATGACTGCTCCTTTCACACTTTTCATTGTTCCTTGACCGCCGATACTTGCAAAGGAGGCAGTCGATGGTATATGGAAGAGACAGGGGACGGTGTAGCCTTTTGAAGCGGTGGAACTCTGGACGGCGTGATGTATATACATATTGATATGGAAAGGGTATATATGCGGAATAATCGTACAAGATATACAGTCGAGGCAGCACAGTGGCTCCCCTCAACAACAAGTCCTGTGGACGTGGCCTGGGAGTCAGTTGCTCCTTAGAGTCTCCAGATGGTAGTCATGGCCGTTTAACTCGTGTTCGCGTTCGCCGTTCTCCCGTTTAACCCCGTTGCCGGATAGGTGACTTTTCTCAGAGCTCTGGAGGCTCATCCGACATGTGCTGCATGCAGTGCTCTTCTGCCGCTCGTGCTGTGAGACCGTTCCTCCAGCTAATATCTTGAGACCTGTACAGTTGTTGTTTTTGTTATTGCCCCTTGTACCGGTTTTGTCCATTGACTGTCAGTGCTGACTGCATGAAAATCCTGTTCCAACATAATCTTGTCGCTATTGTCATCGCCCGCAGTCACCGTACTGGTTACACCTGGCATCTTTTTGCTGGCGCCTCTTCCCAATTGTCCCAACTCTGTCGACTGCCGTGAATCAAATTGGTAGTAGTGGCTGGCGGGCTTGCGAGAAGAGCGTCTGTCAGTTTTGCTTTTGCCGTACGCGAGCCCATCGGCGTCGTATCCGTAGTTTGCCCTGTTACGACTGTTGGACGACGTGAACCTTTGAGTGGCACCGAGAATTCTAGCGAATAGCGGACGCAGCGAAGGCAAAGAAGCAGCCAGAATACCGATATTGAATTCGATGTTGTTCCACATAAAGAAGGAATCGTGATAGGTCCAGTCGGGGTCCGCGAGGGCATGCGCCTGTTTAACTGTTTTGATGATACTTGAGATGCAAGCGAAAAGACCCAAGCTTAAAACAAAACAAAGAGTGAGCTTAGTTCGCAGATTTGCTTGGAGTTTCCACACCACGGGTATTGGAAGTAGCGCGAAAAGTACATCCGTCGCGATGTTGATGCTGCTGTTGAAGATACCGATGTTTGTGAAGGTGTTGTTGCTGAAACACTTGGCTTGTCCGGTTGTCCGCAGACCAAAATTCCAGTTCGCATCGACGCGTGTGCCGCAGTTGAAGATGAGGGTACCGGCGCAAGAAATCGTAAAAGCAACGAGAAAAACGATGCACCCCAGAAGAAAGCGTTGGTAGTTTTTGCTTGGCACGAATCTGCGCAGGAAGAATGCAATTGAGATCTTGACGAGACTGATGCCGATCATGATGATGATGGAATGGAAGAATCGCCAATGCGAGAATAGAGTTGCATCTTCCGGGCTGACAAGCGCTGGGTGTCTGCCTAGCATTCCAGCATTGCTTTCGCCCACGAAGCAGATAATAACGCCAATCTCACAAATCTGGTCGATCGGCATGAGTCAGGGAATACGCTCAATGTAGAAGAAGGAATGCCGCCTCGGGCCACTAACCGCAGCGGCCGCCATAATATAATCGTCAACCCCAAGGCTTTTGAGCATGAATATTCTCACATAGAGTCGAAGGAGGACCGTGAGGATGGCAACCCCTCCGAAGGTGCCGTGGATTGCGAGGAGGGCACCTGCGTTGGATTCATCCTTGTATTGAGGAGCACCAGCCGCCTGCCGCTCAACAAGTTGAGAAAGAGCTGAAATAACCATGGCGTCGCTGAAAACGTGTCAACTATCACGCGGTCCAGGCGAAGCAGTAGCAGGTGAGCTGTGACATTTAGACACTGCGAGATTGATGGGTCCAAGGTGTCGGATCAGGATGGGTTTAAAGCTCTGTCAAGTTTCACGTTGGAAATGGTACCTCAATCTGAGCTCGCTTGT